TGGTATCGATAAAGTTTATGGAATTTCGTATGGAGTAAGAAGTATATCAGAATTAACCGATTCTCAAATTTTAAATATTATAGATCAGGTAACGGAAAAAGCACGTGATATGCTGACCATTGGTCAGGAACAAAATCATATGACCGAAAAATTTGAGCCTGAAGTAAACGCACCAACTACCGCACCTATTCCTTTAACATACATCTCTAATTCTTCAGGTCCAGTCAATATGCCGGCCATCCCATATGATGCTCGTGCTCCCTACATTAATGTGGCTTTGAAAGAATATCCCTACCTATCCTTATATAATAGTGACAGACATAATGATGCATATGAATTTAAAAATTCGGGTTTATGTCCCGGATGTGGAGAAAAGCATACTGAAGGGAAGGTAGTTGGCCGATGCATAAAAGGTTCTTATTACATTAAGTGCCGGTCCTCACCGAATGAAAAAGAAATCAAGATAAGTGCTTTACCGAAAACGATTTCATCAATCACACATCAAGCAAGTAGGACTAATCCAACTTATGACCGCACCTATTTTCGCAACAAGACATTGGATCAATATCAAAATTTATATAGAGAATTTAGTAGTGAAAATTTTGATTATTATGGCATTACTGATGAGACATCATGCCCATTATGCAAGTTAGATCATAATGATGAGGATGGTGTGAAGGGCAGATATGAAACCGGATCCTATTATATCAAATGTGAACAGCGTGGAGTTGAAATTGAGGTAACGGCATAAAGCATAATAACATGAAAAATTAAAATTATTTGCTCTTTGAAAGATTTATTTTTTCCCAACACTCATTACGTGATTTTGAATTAACATATATTTTTTATATGATAACATGGCTTTTACCTCTGATAAGAAAATACTAACTAATGACTATCTTAAATGGCATGCTAAATTGACTTTACCGACTATTTTAACAGATAAAAAAAATCATTCTAGACTATATAAAAGATATAAAGAGGAGACTGGAGAAGATCCTTGGCAATACATTGATTCTCCCAAATCGAAGATAGCAAAAATGAAATAGAGGTATGCATATTACCTATAAACAAAAATGCATCTCTCAATTCTCGTCTTCCAATTTCTATCTTACCCGATGATCCAGAAGAAAAACGAAATCTTGTTATCAAAATAGCTGATTTCAAGCCTATCACATTCAAAGCCAAACCTGATTCAGAGTTAATTATCAAATCCATGTTAGAGCATTTCACATACTTGAAATTCCAAAATAGTTTTAGAGGGATTGATAATTATAATTTTGCATCACCTCAGCCGTGGAGCTCACCATGCCCTATTTGCAATG